CTCGGCTGGGTGGGAGCCGCTGCTGTTGTTGCTGGCCCCGCGCCCCGTGCCCCATCCTTCCTTTGCTCTCCCAGCCTTCGGTGCTGTCATTTCCTTCTCGCAAGCCCGCTCGCATCATCTTCCCCCCTGAGCACCCCCCTCAAGGGCTCTGCCTGCCTCCCCCATGCTGGGATCTGAGGGCAAGGCTGATCCTGGAGCGGACGGACGCTCAAAGGCCTCCTTTTATATATATATATATTTAGGGGTTTTTAAACCTAAACTTCTCAAGGCATTGTGTCCTTGAACCTGCCCTGTGCTGTCCGTGAGTCACATCCCCTGCCATTGTTCGCATTGTCCTTGAGCCCTCCTGATGCTGAGAGCTTCCTCTTCTGCCTCTGCCCGAGACTTGAGGGCTTTTGGCATGTCTGGCCCCGGCACACTGTGGGGCTTTGAAGTCAGCAGTCCCTCTGTGCCCCTGCTGCCCCAGGAGCCCTGCTCCGCCTCTGCCAGCTCCAAGGAAAGGCAGACCCCACACCGTGTTTCTGAGCTGGGCTATCAGCAGCGACCATCTCCCCACAGGGATATCCTGCATCCCTGGGAGGTCCAGCCACAAGCCAGGGGCATCTTTTGCATCGCTGGTGGCCATTGCCCGAAGAGCAGCTTCTCAGAGGTGGTGGAGCACACCAAGAGGATGGTCCCAGAGCTTTGAGTGCGATGCCCATGGTAAAGCTGCACTACCACCTCCCAGGTGTGGAGGAGGGCTGGGGGAGCCCTGCCGACTGCCACGTCCAGGGCAGCGCTGGGGATGTGCTGAGCTGTCTGTCCTTCAAAGCAACTTGTTCTTTTTCACATGGGAGAAGCTGAAAGCAGGTAAATCGGCCAAGTCCATGCTGTGAGTCCATGGCAGGGTGACCAGCTACCGGGCTAGCAGGGCTCTGCTCTAATCACTCAGGTCATTCCCTTGCAGAGACCCTTTCCCTAGAGACCCTCCCCTTTTGCACTTCCCTGCTGGGGTACGAACTGTGCTACCTGTCTGCCTGCTCCTGTTGTGTCTTCAGATGACCAGGAAGAGGCCCCCCACCTTGCATCAGGCACAAGAAGAGCAAACTGTGCCTCCCCTGAAGAACTCATAATCTAAACAGACAAGACAGATGCAGGGGGGAAGGGTAAAGTGCAGCAGGAAGATGATCTGTACAACGGATCAGCTGCTCCTTGGTGGGAAAGGAGGGGTAAGGACAGAAGGGCTGAGCTGGGGCAGGACTGTGCTGGTGGGAGGCAGAGGAAGGGGACAGCAGCCCTGTCTGGGGCTCAGTGTCCCCGTCACACTGTGAGCATGAAGACCTGGGGCTGCCCAGGTCAGCTCCAGCCCAGGACACGCCGTAAGATGCCCAGAGTGAGTCTGAGCAGGAGACATCCCCGCTGGTCCTGGCGTTGCGATGAACCATGGCAGGGCGTTCCCTGCTCAGCCCCCTTCTCCGATGCCAGCAGCACCAGTGCCGCACCCTCAGGAGCTGTGCTGGGGGCTGCGGCCATGAAGCATCCCCCGGACCTGACACATGGAGATGTGGCAGCCACGCCTGCCAGGGCTATTGCCTGCCTCCCCCTTGTCTCCCTGGCTGCCCCCTTGTCTCCCTGGCTGCAAGATGCTCTGCCAGCCCTCTCAAGCAAGGTGCAGACCCCAGGGAAATCCGCCTGGGCAGCCCCGTTACCTTTGTAGGCGAGACGAAGGCGCGGGGCGTGCTGCTTCCATGCCTCGCTGCTGCTCGGCTGCTGCAGGAGGAGGCAGAGGAGGAGAGCAGGCAGGGGCAGCCGGTGGCTGGGGGCAGGTCGCATCCTGGCACTCAGCAGCTGGGGAGGGGGCAGCTCGCCCTCACAGCACCATGGTCCAACACCGAGATGTCACCTCCACCGCCAGCTGCAAGCAGAGAAAGGGGAAGGTTGTATTGCTGTAGGCTGTATGTGGGTCCGGACCCCCGTCCCACCGGCCCCTGGATGGGGACGGTGCTCGAGGGACCACGAGTGATGGCTTGGCAGGTCTGCAGGCAGCTCGTCCCCCCCTCAGAAGACGTCAGACCAGCTGCCTGGTGGAGAGGAGCCACCAAGAGCAAGTGGCCGGCCCCCCGCACACCCACGGCGCTGCAAAATGAGCCAGGGCCGCCATGCAGCCGGCTGCCGGGGGGTGGGGGGGAAGGTCACAGCCACAGCCAGCGCGGCGTGCCGGGCCAGGGCTGGGGACACCGCAACACCCGCCACGAGCACCACGGCAGCGAGGTGGGGTGCCGGGGACCGGGGCTCACCCCTCCCTCGGTGGGACACAAGGCTTGTCTTGAGGAGCTCACGCAGCCTGAACCAGCCGAGCTGGGAGGGCAAGTGGGGGGCGTCTCGCTGGCTGGGCTGTCCTCGCTGCCTCAGCAGCCATCAATGGCTCTGGTAGGGTGAGGAGGATTTCTGAGCGTCTCCATTGCCATGAGCCACACTGATCCCAGCTGGGACACCCTGCACCCTCCATCTCCCGGAACTGGTGGAGCAGCTGGTGCTCACAGGGCCAGTTTGGGTACTGGGAAAGGCATCTGTGACTGGGACACCGGCCCACCGGCTGCCACCTCGGAGCAGCAGGGACTTCAGAAGACCAGCTACTGCAGCCTGCCCAGGGGAGGTGTGTGGCATGATGACGGTGTGCCCATGGCATGTGGTACCCAGGAGCACCGAGGTCTGAGCATCCTCGAGGTGACTGACGTGAGGGAAGAGGCAAGGAGCACTCGGGGAGTCGTACACCCTCCAACAGGTTCTCAGAGCTTGGGCATCCCCTGCTAAATAGCTGCTCAGACCCCGATGCCTGGTCAGAGCCCGGTGAGGGACCCCTAATATTTGTCTCATCTCAGCTTGGGGTTAAATCTTGTCCCTCTTACTCAAGGGAGAACTACTGTTTTGGAGTGTCGTCCTTAAATGCCACTTTTGTGGTCCCTTCAGCATCAGCTGCGGCCGCATGTGTACATGACACAGCACTCTGGCCGGTAGCTCTGCAAATTGCCTGGTCACCGCAGACCTCACCGAGGCCACCAGCATCCGTTGGCTCCGGGATGCCGCGGGTTGGAAGGACTCTCTTACATTTATACCCCCTTCAGAGGCGTACAGGGTTTCACAGCCGCATCCGCCAGCTCCCACACCTCCAGAGGGCAGCGAGGTTGGCCCGGCAGCCCCCAGCCATTAATTCAGGCAATTTAGATGCTTTTTTCCTGCTTATAAACGTCCCGGTCCCTAAATGGCACCTCTGACCAACTCCCTCTCTTGCTGCGTATTAAGTTCTTCCAGTCCTATGGTTGGAAGATGTAAAATGAGCTTTTTGGCTCGTTCCTGGCCAGAGGCTCTTGGCGCAAGGAGCGGGGGATTTCTGCCGCCCCGGCGAAGGGCTGTGTAGGAGGGATGGTGCGGCCGAGCCTTTCCTACCGCCTCGGTCTCTGCCTTCCACAAGAAGGACCACTCGGCTCTGTTTGGGGAGGAGGGTTTGGGGTTGTGGAGCTGGGGTTCCTCTCCCTCCCAGCAGGCAGGGAGCAGGCAGCTGCCCGTGGCCAGGCTGGGGTGCAGCCCCTGGGCATGGCTCCTCTCCTGCTCTTTCGCTGCCCTCGCCGCTGCCTTGCTCCCGCTCTGGCCAGCACAACCTGCTGTGCTGCAGAGCCATCTCCCATCCCAGGAGACATCCCACCACCCTGGGACCTGGATGTGACCTCGGGGTGGAGGCTCTGCCGTTTTCTACTTTCTCAACCCAATGACCCCTTTCCCGGGCAGACTTTTCAACAGGCCAACCACTGCCTAAGAAAAAAAACCCCACAGACACGATGGGTTTGGCTAAATTGCAACCGCTTACTGCTTGACACATCGATTGTGGAGAGGGTTCCCCACCAGCCACACTGGGGACCCTCTAACAGGCGGCGCTGCCTTCTCTTTCCCCTACACCACCTTCCCAACAGACAGAGACAACGAGCGGCTTTCCTGTGCCGGGGATGCTCCAGCAATTTTAGCTCTTCCCCCCGCTCAGCCGTCCTCCACGGAGTCTCCCAGAGCCATCCCGCTGCCGACTCGCAGCCATGCCCTGAGCGAGCGCTGCTGTCCCGGGGGGTCATCGCAAGGACGTGCCTGGGATTTGACAGGAAAATTTTTTTCTTTGCCAGCGTGCGTTGGGTTGCCGGAGAGCTCGGGAAAACGCCGGCCTCTAATTGCAGCTTTCTATAAATGGAGCAGAGGCTGTGCTAGGCTTAGGTTTGGGCAAAGCCGGCCCTGGGAGGAACCTTTCCTGACCCGGAGCTCCAGTGGATGCGGGGGTGGGTCGGGATTCTGCGGATGGCGGGCAAGGCACCGCTCCTGCCGCCGGGACACGCTCCCGCACAGCCACGGGGTGAGATTTAGGGATGCTTCGCATGCCTGCAGCAGGGGCCGGGGCAGTGGGGCAGGCGTACATGCTCCCGTCTATGGCTCGGCTGTCCCTGTGCTTCATCTCCTCGCCCTGGGGATGCCAAAGGCGAGTTTGACGGTGGCAGGAGCCGCAGCCGCACACGAGGAACCCAGAGCCCTGGCAGAGCTGGGTGCAGGGTCAGAAAAAGTGGGCATCTTGCTGGAGAGGCTCAAAGTGGGCAAGAAAAATAAAAATTGCCAGAGGATAACTTCCAATAAGAAGGGCTTCCCCTGTGTATCATGCCTCCACCGAGCCTTTGGTGCTCCCCGCCATCATGCCCAGGCAGCGGCGAGGGACCCGGCACGTCCATCTCCTGACACGCAGCTAAAATCCCAGCAGCAGTTCCCCGACCCGGCTCTGCCCGCAGCCCCTGGCACCCGGGGCATCCCTCGCTGTGCCAGCCGGAGCGGGGACACAGGGGGAAACACGCAGTGGGGCCACGGCCCCCGCCTGTAAACCTCTGCCCAAATCTGCCTGGAGGTGAAGAGTTGGGCAGAGGCAGAGTTTACACTGAGAGGGGGAGCGCGGGTGTCTAGTGGATGGAAACAAGCTGCGGATGATGAATCCAGGGTTAAATTAAACACTCTCGACAGCTTTAAATAATCAACTGTCCGGAGCTGCAACTATTTCTATCTCAGTTTGGAGAGGGGAGTGCTGATGAGGGCAGGCTGCCGGGCGAGGGGACGTCTCGGGGGTTAAGATTTCATACCCCGGGCACGGTGGGGCCTGAGCGGGGAGGACGTGGGTGATGGCAGCCCTGTTTCGGGGGGGGGGAGGATGGGGGGGGTGGCAGTCACCTCGGTGTAGGTGGCACCGGCGGTGACACCGCAGCGCTGGGCTGGCTTTGCGCCAGCCGCAATCCAGCGATGCTCCAGTGGCAGCCGTCACCTTGTGCCCTCCCCTTCCACTGGTGACCTGCAGAAGTCCAACAGGTCTAAGGCTCTGGGCTGTCATCTAGAGTCACCGTTTCATGGCACAGCACTGAATTTTTTTCCTTTGGAGACACAGTCCCCTGGAAGGTCTTGCTGGAGACTGAGCGGCACAGGGAAAAGACAAATCCCTCCTGTTTGAGGCATGCGGGTATGGGAGGAAATTGTTTATCCGTGAAAGCACCAATTTCCTCCTGACAGCTCCTATTTGCTGCGATGCCACGAGTAGTGTAAAACAGCCCAAATTTCAGAGGGGGAAGGGCCCTGGTGGTGGATTTATCAGGTTATGCATTATCTCCGGAGCGGGAAGAACGTGCCGAACTCGAGCTCTCCAGCGATCCGGCGGCACTAGCAGCAGCCCCCCTTGCCCAGCACAGCCCACCATGTGCTTCACCACTTCCACAGGCCCCGATTGTGTCCTGGTTAATCCCCACACGCCATTTGCAGCCCGGTGCCTTCTTCAGTTACACGGCGGGGCTGGCCGGGCCACGGGCAGGGGGTGAAGCGCTGGCCCCCGGCAGCTGGGGGACCTCAAGGGTCTGGCGGGGGGGGAGGAGAGGGGCTGCACCCCGCTGTCAGCATTCAGCCGCAGAGGGAAGGGAACGCAGTGCTGGAGCCCCGCCATGGGGCTGGCGCTGCCCGGGGCTCCCGAGGAGCCGAGCCCTGGCTCCCGGACCCTAGCCCCACCAGGAGGTCTGGCAGAGAGGACGGCCATACCCAGCCATCAGGATGTCTCCTCCTCCCGTCCCGCGGCTCAGCCCGTGCCCCCATCCCTGCACGCATGTCCGCACGTCGGTTGTGTGCACATCGGTCTGCGCTGTGCGAATGCGGGGCCAGATGTGTGGGGAGCGTGCACAGCTGGAGCTGTTGGTGGTGTGCGTTGGCGTGCGCCTCTGCCCATGGCTGTCCCCCCCTTCCTGCCCATGCAGGCACAGAAGCCCTCCCTGCTCAGCCCCACGAGCCGGTTGTTCCCCTCCATCCCGTGCAGGATGATGGATGCCCCAGCAGCTGCGGGGAGAGGCAGCTGTCGTCTTTCTCCAACCGGGAGGACAAAGCCAGTGGGGTGGGCCCTTGGCCCCCTCCCTGCCTGCCCCCAGAGCCGCTTGGCCGAGGCAGGACCGATGCCGCGGAAGCCTGCGATGCTGAGCTGTGTGATGGGGACAGAGGTACATGATGCTCCTGTGGCACAACACAGGAGTCGGGACCACAAAAGCCAGCGCCAGAGCTCAGGTGGCATCAGGATGCCACAGCGTGCCCCGCGAGGTGGCAGGGCTCAGGGAATCCCTCGGTCACACGTGTCCAACAGTGACGGGCCCACACAGAGCCCCAGAGGCGGGGGGGAGAAGATTTCGGAGGGTTTGAATGGAGGACTTGTTCAACAGCAGAAGGCGGCTGAAGTTGCTCAAGCTTCGCTTGCGTTTCTCCGCCATGGCAGGGCAAGGCTGGCCAGGAGG